TCTTTCCATGTGTCAGTATATAATGCCTGCATCTGTAACTTTCACTCTATGCATCTGAAGAAGTGAGGTTTTTACCCACGAAAGCTTATGCCCAAATAAATCTGTTAATCTTTAAGGTGCCACCAGACTCCTTGTTGTTATTGCAAGAAGGAATTTTTTCATTTTAAATATCAGTAGTGCCCAGAAGTATAAAATTTTAATGCTGTGCAAATAATTATGCAGTTCTGTAAATCATAACCTGACAAAGCTACTGCAGTATACTGTCATCTGTGGACATTATTACTTCAGATATTCAGACTGACAGATGTGTTGCATCATCTGTATCTTGGCAATGTTCAGTAAAAAGTTCTGCAGAAACATACAAAAAACTCTAAGAAGGTATCATATTGCCTTTGTGTTCTTTTCTGAATGAGAGCCTAAATTAAAAGATTAGATTATTTTGATCTTATGCTGGCTTTAACTGAACCAAGATATTGCATGGAAGTGTATTACAGTTTGTTCTCTCTCTTCAAAAATATTCCTTTACACTACATCTTCACAGGCAACTTGGCAAGTCTAACAGGAATCATATAAAACCAATGCTGTGAAGTAGTCAGGTAATAAATAGTCTCACAAACCCATCTACAGCAACAAATAACTGTCGACTGGCATAGAGAATAAGAAAGAAGATATTTAACTCTTGAATTAAACTAGTGTTAGGTTATGTTTGTTACTTTTGTGCACGCCTTGGATAGTATTTCTGTACCATTACTATTTACATTATGTACTAGAAACTGTATGTGCAGGCATAAAGTTACACAGGTATTTATCTACACTATTTATAAGTAGAAATTCACTGCATTTTCAAGAGATGCTTTTGTGAAGGAACTGAAGGCACAATTTGTACAAATGTTGGTCCTTGGAGGTCAGGTCTGAAATTTAGTGTCCTTAAAACATAAGATTGAGGGTCAAGCCCAAAGGTCTAGTGACAATGCTCTTATTTACCATATCAAAGACCTGGATTTGAAGTCTTGGCTCGACAGTTCCTTCCAGGGACAAGAAATATGGAGAAAGCTGCAGAAGCAACATGCTTAGTTTTGCTACAGGAGATGGGAAAAAATTGCCTCAAAAAGATACCACTCCATCCCAAATATTAAAGTTTTAGATCACAGAATCCAAAAGCCCATCAAATCTTTCTTTGGACTAGAAAGAAGATGGCCAACACATGGAACCCTGAGAGTATGAAATGGGGGGCAAGAAGGGAAAATGGTCATAATTTAGAACTATGAGAAAATAAGGTAGATTTCTGCAGGGCCGGCTCTACTGTTTTTGCCACCCTAAGCAGCGCGCCGAATTGCCGTTGCGGATGGCGGGGGCAGTCCGTGTGCCGTTAGGGCAGCATGCGCGTTTCCACGGCAGCGGCAATTCGGTGACAGCTTCTGTCTTCAGCTGGAAGACAGAAGCCGCCGAATTGCTGCCGTGGGCAGCTGAACATAGAAGCTGCCACCAAATTGCCGCCGCCGCGGAAACACGTGTGCCACCCTAACAGCACACTGACTGCCCCCGCCGTCCATGGAGGCAATTCAGCTGCTGCTTGGGGCGGCAAAAACACACGGACTGCCGCCCCTTGCAGATTGCCGCCCCAAGCACCTGCTTGGAATGCTGGTGCCTGGAGTCGGCCCTGATTTCTGGAGACAAAGATGAACAACATCTTACGCTGTTAAAAATCCTTGCATTGAGCCTGTTTGATCATCTTCCACAATTATTCCTCATTAAGGGAATCTTCAACATTTCTTCAGCTCTGTCCTTTGAGACAATACACCCACCTACCCACCCTTCCAGACTTTGTGTTCCTTATTTTGCACATCTCTTAAATGACAGTCTCTGACGCTCATACTGGTGAGTTGAATGTAATGCAAGTACATGAGATCTTCTCCAAGATTTATTTTATTTATTTTTATTTATCAGTTTTTCCTTCTTAATTTGTTTTAATATTCTGCTTAAAATTTAGAGAAGTAACCCTTGCTACTACTCAGTCATGAAGATTTGTGCGCTAGGGCACCATACACTGAACCTCATCCTTACAATGATTTATCCCCTCTGGTAAAAGTAAACATTGTAAAGTATTTGCAAGAATAACAGAATTGTAAATCTGCTTTACATAACACAAATGGCTCCATACCTGTCATGGATTTCATCAGAATGTGGATGCAAGTACTTTTACCTGCCCCACTAGGACCTAAGGCCATCATTCCATGCCTTACTTTCTGCGTTTCATACAGCTGGATAACTTTCAGTTTCCAAGGAGGATGACTAATTAGGCCAGCTTCTTCAACCTGTGGATATTGACATAAATCCAAACTATTGCTTCTTTTATGCATCAGAACAATTTGATAATCAGATTCAAGGTATAGATGCATTACAAGATCCTGATCATATTTAATTTTGTATTAAGTTTCAGTACTTGTAAAAGAACACTGGTTGAAGCCAAGTAATACAACAGTTTCTACACTGGAACTCAGTATCCCATCTTCCACAGTGATTTGAGGAAAACATACAATTCCAACAACAAATAAGTTTTAATACTGAAGGGGCAAACTTCAATATTGATGCAAAAAATGAATTATCATTTATTCTTGTAATGTTAGGTTGTTACAAACCTGCCTGCATCTTTACTGCATTGTAGCAGACACTTACAATTATTTTCATAGACATGATTTTGGAGAATGTGATAAGCAAATAAAAACATAAGCGTGTTAGTTATTTAATTATATGAAAGGTTCAAGCTAAGGACATTCTGAGGAAATCTATTTTTTAATCAACATGACAGGCTCCTGCAGTGTCAAAGAAGAAAAAACTATGTTTATTACCCCAACTCTGAAATGCAAATTTATAGATTATTTTGGTTTAACATCCTATACTATTTTTATACTACATTTTGAAAAATTAAGTTATGATTCATGTTTTGTATAGAACTACAAGTTGAAATGCTATAAATGGTAGCTTGTTTAAAAGAAAGTGAGATTATTCTCTGTTCAAGACAAATAATGCCTAGGATATGATTTCAGAGCAATAAAACGAGTCAAAAAGAGGTCTTTTCACCCCCTCTTTTCTTCATTTCCTCAGTTTAAACACAGACAAAGGATTTAAGTCTTATTGTCTGAAGTCTCCACTTAGCTTTTAAGAGAACACATATAGATGAGACGTGCTTTGGTTACTTCTAACCCCATGTTGCCACTTAAAAGGTGAAAACTTTTGTTTATTCATTAAATGATCAAAATGGCATAAGCTTTTTTGAGATGTATATTTGTAAATGTGCTGCATCTAAATCCATATAAAAACTTCTTGTTATGTGACTAGTAAGATATTTTATGTACAAATACAACAAGGTCATTTGATGCTGTAACTCATTAATGAAAGAAACCATATGAGTATAAAAATATTGAATTTAATTGGGAAATTAGTTATCTGACAATCATCGTAATGGGACATCCCCCAGAGACGTGGCCCCCTTGCAGATCAAGCACCACCTGGATCGATCTCTGGCTAGGTCCTTAAGGTAGTTTGGAGGGATACTTAGTGTGTCCATCACTGGCAATGTTATTGTGCCATCAAAGCTTTTGGCACCCACAAAATTGCCAGCTGCATAGTGGCATTCCTTGGTGTAAACACCTCAGAATTTGTTAGTCTTCGATTCTTATAATATGTCCAGCCAAAAAAAAGATGCTGAAACTGAACCAATGGTAACACCAGCAGTTGCTGTTGGCTTCCAATATCCTCATCTCTCATCTTGTCTTTCCCCTTAATATAGAGCAGCTGGTGGAGATGATGAGAATCAAAAATGTCAATCCCACATTCTTCAGCCTTCCTCAGTGCCCATGTTTCACTTCCATATAACACAGCTGGTATAACTGTGGCTCGATAGATCTGCACCTTCATAGCAAGCTTGATGTCACAACACACACACACCCACAGAGGCAGCTGAAGGACATGAAACATGGTGGCAGCTGCTGCTATACAAGCATCCACATCTTTTGAACTTCCTCCATCACTGCCTGATACTTACCAAGTATTTGACATTCCTGATGTCCCATCTGGATGGGTTAATATTGAGCTGGTTATAATCTGGATCTGGAGGCTGCTTGATGTTAATGGCCAGGGACTCAGATTTATCTAGATTAAAAACCAGACCAATGTGCATTGCTTTTTGCCTGACCACATCTGCTATCAGCTGCAGCGATTCCAACTGAGCCAACAATACAATGTCATTACCATATTGGAGATCTCAATGCAGAATGGCGGTCAGCCCATCAACACTGGCACCAGCCTTCTGAAGCTTACCCACCAACCTATCAATGCCTATATTGAATAACAATGGTGGTGGAACACAGCCTCGCTGAACTCCTGTGGAGACAGGAAACTCCCAGTGACTAAATGCAGCTTATAGTTCCACTGTTAGAACTCTTCTGTCAATGATTCTATCTTCTCAGGGGTACTGTGTCACCTCATCTGATCCCACAAACTTGCTCAATGCCCTGAACCAAAACCTGATGGAAGTCTGTAAAAAGTGCAGCTCATGGCTTATTAAATGCAGCCATCTTCTCAAAAAGCTCTCATGATAAGATCTGGTTGACAGTGGAATGACAAGGTCTATAGCTGTACTGAGTATCCCAGCCTTTAAATTAATGGAGATATCCTATCTCCTAGAACTGGAAGGGACCTTGAAAGGTCATCGAGTCCAGCCCCCTGCCTTCACTAGCAGGACCAAGTACTGATTTTGCCCCAGATCCCTAAGTGGCCCCCTCAAGGATTGAACTCACAACCCTGGGTTTAGCAGGTCAATGCTCAAACCACTGAGCTATCCCTCCCCCCAGCCACAGAGTGCATCACTGATTCAAGACATTAACAGGGAGGCAAAAAACTTGCCTGGGACTGACTATAGTGGCTACATCCAGCCTTATCACCCCTTTTTTGAACACAAGCAGATTAGACCTCTTCTAGTCATCAGGAATATTAGTTTGCCCTATGGTCTGGAGGAACCCTTGCAGCCACAGTACAACAATACCCTCTCCTGTCTTTTACAACTCAGGGATGAGGTTACAAACCTCTGGTGTCTTTCCAAACTTGACTTTATGGACTGTGATGCGGATCTCTCAGTTGAAGGAAAGCAGATCTACTGTAACATCTTGCCCCTCTTCAAATGGAGAAGGGACTACAGGGGGATGGACAACCAAAGATCATCTTGAAATGAACTTCCCATCATTGGAACTGATCCAGCAGACTGGCTGATGCTGCCACCTCAATATTTAACTTGACGAGTTGGGGTGATGTTCCCTCACAGACACTGTGAAGTTGAACAGAGGGTGCGGAGATTGTGCCTTTCTGCAATCTGTTCTAAATTAGCTGCCTAAGATGACCACCGGGATTCCTCATCTTTCTTATACAGTAACTTGACAATGTCCCAAAGTCTGTCCCATTCAGCCTTTGTTTTTGTTCTTGAATTCTGGAAACTCCGATTGTAGCCTCTCTTTTTTTCTAGCTTTGACTGCAGTGAGCATCTCCTCGCTTATCCCTGGATGGCATTTGAAGGGCAGGGAATCCAGCACTGAGTTGGCATCAGGCAGCACTAATGACTTGAAACAACACTATTCCTCATCAGATGGGGGAGGGAGGGATACTTCAGTCTCTAATGCTTTGATGGCCTTACACGGTTCAGAACAGAGAGCTGCCTGATAACTCAGCTGTAACAAACATTTTTGGTTTAATCTGACCCATTTGGGCCCATTAACTGGCAGCATTCAAAGTCGGAGGCAGCAAAAGCTGATGATAGGTGTTAAGCTCAGCACCTCTGCAAACTTGTACATCCATGACTGTTGACTGCCAGTGACTATTAAGTGCTAGTGAAACCATCTGGGCTGTACTAGGCCTGTTTTTGAATCTTTGAGTGATGGAACAGTAAGTGAGTCATCACTATGTCATTGGCAGCCACAAATTCCAGCAGTTGCTGCCTGTCCTGTTCTTCTGCCCAACACTGAGTTTCCGAAGCATACTTGCCCAGGTGTCATTATTCTTTCCTACTTCTGCACTGAAGTCTCCCAAGATCACTCTGCTACTGAAGGGAAAATGACCAGCAAAATCTTGCTAAAGGACCATTTTGGTATCTTGCGTGTTGGTGGCAAATGTAAAATTGGTGCCTGGAACATTCAAACATTGTATGACAGTTCTAAAGCCATCCTTATCAAGCAGTTGAAAAATCTGAGCATCAATACCTACACTATCTAAAGTATGCTGGCCAAGAAATGGTAAAATATAGAGATGGGGGTTATACATTTGTGTTCTAAGGCTGCCCTGACAGGTTGCATCAGAAAGGGGTTCCTATTGTACTTTCACCCAATGCCTGACTGGCCTAGAAGTACTGGAGGGTGATTAGGATGATTTATCAGCATCTGATTACTTACTAGCTGTGGGTATCTTCCCATCATCACAGTGTATAGTCCCACCACACTAAGGCCAACCATGCAGCTGCACATAATTTTTACCAGCAGCTGCAGCCACTCCTTAATGAACGCTTATGTAACTCCTTACCAAACACAAAAAGACAAGAACCCCCTCTCCAAAGATTAAGAGACAATGCCTTCTTTGATGACTCTTCAAGTTTAAAGATGCTAAGAATATTTTAAGTTTAAAAAAAAACTATCTTGAAACATGAAAGACCTTTATATAGGAAATAAGAGAGTTGGACTCATTTGAAATAGAATTTCAGCTCCTATTAAGACCTGATGAAACTAAAGATATCACAGAAAAAGGACTGAACGAAATAAAGTTAAAATTACAACTTTTAAAGACATTCTGGGATTTTCTGCCACTAAGGCAATAACAACTAGAACCCTGCTGCATATGCATTAGCAGATTGCTTATTCATGAGCTGAAGATACTAACAAGACCAGCCCACAAGCAAATTGAGCCAGATGGTGACAGTGGCTGAAAGAAGTACATTTTCCTCCTCCTGTGAAATTATGGAAGAAGCATGTAAATGTCTCTGAATTCAGAAAGCGAGCTGCAACACTCTGCTCCTATCATCACAGCACTTATTCTCAGCAGTAAACTCAGCTCAAACTGTTCATTTCATCACTACAAACAAGCAAACAGCAACAAGGCAGCAAGAAGAACAAAGCAGCGGCAACCTTCCAGGCCAGCACTGCCTCTGCAACATGACGTGACTAAGACTTCAGTTTCATGGGTGAGATGGAATCTGCAGAAATACTGCCAAGGGATTAGATTTAAGATTTTCTTGTAATGATTTTACTGGGAAATTGGAATGCTACTGTAACTTACGATACTAACAGCTTCTTCTGTTAAACACCCAATTGTTTAGACTGTGCATTCCTTAAGAGGGATATAAAACTGCTGACCTTTCTCCCCACCCAGAAAGGTTTGGCACCATGCCAGAGTGTTCTTCGGGCCCCTTTTTCTTATGCCTACAACTGTATTTCTTCTACATAAAACTATTTCAAAACATCAGTCATTCCTTCACCCTAATCTGGGGTCTTCTGCAGGGATCTATCTATTCCCTATGGGTTTCCACTGTACAGGCCACTTGCCTGAGAATCATATGCTGTTCCCAGACCTACTACAGGGACCACACCTGCACCACAGTCTCCTGCTGGGTCCTTCCAGTTCTCTGCAGTTCTCTGCAGCTCTCCCTCTAACTGGCCTACTTGCTGACTTTTATAATCACCTGATCCCTAGCTGATCCGTTTCAGCTGGAAGGTGAGGCTGGGCCCAACTTCCATTAAAGAGCCAGCCATCCTGTGACATAGAGACTTATGCTCATCTTGGTAAACAGAAATAGTGCGATTTAATTTGAATTTAAGATTTTTAATATTCATTCATTTGCCTGTCTCCGGATGGCTCCTTGGGATGGTTTCTTTTACGTCACTGAGTCAAAAACTCTTCAGTTTCTTAAGACGTAGCTACATCTACACTATGAGCTGGGGGGTGAGTCTCCTGCTCATGGACACATATCCCACTAGCTCTCATTGAGCTAGCGTGAGTATAAACAGCATTGTAGCTACAGAAGAGGCATGGCTGAGCCCTGCTGAGTACATACCCATCGGTTTCAGGGGGGTTTATATTCAACATAGCTCAGCCATGCCTCCACTGCCTCTACCAGTACTACCTTGGCTACATTGCTATTTAGACTCATGCTAGCTTTAGGAGAGCTAGTGTGAGTATGTGTATGTGAGCAAGGGAAATCATGCCCCTAGCAGGCAGTGTAGATGTAACCTTAGTAAAGATTACTTACTTAATTGGCCTCTCAGAGTTGGTAAGACAACTCCCACCTGTTTATGCTCTCTGTATGTGTGTATATATATATCTCCTCAATATTTATTCCATTCTATATGCATCCGAAGAAGTGGGCTGTAGTCCACGAAAGCTTATGCTCTAATAAATTTGTTACTCTCCAAGGTGCCACAAGTACTCCTGTTCTTTTTACGGATACAGACTAACACGGCTGCTACTCTGAAACTTAGTAAAGATGACGTATCTCTGCCCATTCATGAACTGCCCAACTATAACCCGTTTTAGTAATCTATGATACACTGAGACTGTACTCACTACTGAGTTGGGGAATAATGTACTTCACTTTTAGTTTACCTAGAGGAGAGCATTCCCACCAGGGTAGACCCATTCTCAGAAGGTGTAACCTCTGTTGATATCGGTCTACCGAGAAATTTGCAGAAGAGATTGTATCTGAAGTACCCATTGTTTATTTTTTATGTTCTATTTGTTTTGTTGTATTGTTATTTTTCCCTTGAATCATAAAATAATCAGTTAATTGTGATTATTTGTCTTTAATCATGGTGTCCCCTACAGCATTAAAAAAACAACAACCCTGTGATTAAATAATGGGAGTGTCATCCCCAAACTGGCATTTATAAAGACAGTTATAAGATCTGGCCTACCATCTTTTGTTTCACAAAACTACAATTTTTTAGTAATTTCAGGAATAAAAGTACTTGGTTCTCAACCACTTGAAACACCCTTTTCTACCCCACAATACCAGAACTTGAGAGGATGGGCATTTTCCCTTTGATATATGCTTGTGATTAGTTTTGCCCTGAGCAAGAATCTCAAAGTCTACGATCTTTAAGCTTCAAACACACCTCAGAAATAAGTATTATATCCATTTACAGACAAGTAAGGTGAGAAAAAGAGGTGTTAAGTGATTTGCCCTGTGTCACAACCAACCAGTAAAAAGCTCATGTTAAGGAAACAGGACTTTAGTCTCCTTGTCCTTTGATCTATCCATTAGAAAACTCAGCCCTTCTGAAGCACAACAGTCAGAGCCCGTGGAATTATTTATCTTAGCCAAAGATTCTCATATATGCAAGCTTCTGTTCTGTTTTAAACTCAGGCTGTTTGGCAAAAGTATCTGATGATTTTCTGTTTCACAAGTTTTATTACCCACTGTATGAATAGCTTGTCTTTATTTCACTGAATGCCCTCTTGTTTGTGTATTATGGGAGCGCCCAATTGACCTTTATACTCTCATATGCATGTATCAAATATAACTAGGTGAGCATAGCTAAGTGTTTAAATTGGTAAAGGAAATGTACTTCTCATGCACCGTGCAGTATTTTAGATGGAGAGTCAGGAAGTTTTGACAAATAACAGCTGAGAAAAGGAGCTGAGGAAGAGTTACAGCATTGGACCCAAATTCAACATGGCAACTCATTTGGATTCACGCTACTCAGCAAAGTTCCGATTGATGACTGCGTGTATGACAAGTGTGAGGTATCTGAGAGGAAGTGACACATCTGAAAATGTCTGCTGGAGAAAAATATTCTTTCCGTGCTCAGGTGTTTTATTTTTTAACTGCCTTTCCACAGCAATTCACTTCTGGGCTGAGAACAAGGATGACAAACGTCAGCCTCCAAAGAGTTACTTTATAGGTCATTGAAACTAGCATTCATGAATTTAAGCAACAGTACTATAGATTCACTAGCATGTTACTATCCAATATTTATTTTCACTCAGTAAACTTATTCTTCCTGTATGGAATTTATTCATTTTCAAAAGGGTTTGATTATACTAATGTATTACTGTGTTTATACTCTGCACACAACCAGGTTCTCTTACTCCTTTTGTCATGCTGGGAAAATACCATGCATCAAAAGATGCATTATTACCTGTTTGTTAATGGCAGCTTCTAGTTCTGGATAGCCTGCTTTGTCAAGCTGTATACTTGGAAACAGGTCTTCAATCAGACTCAAGAACAAGGGTTCATCTTCATCAATCTAACAAAAATTAGAAAACCATGAGGAAAATAAGACAAATGCAATCTAGCATAACCAATGGTGCTTTAAGGTCAAACTCTGCACTATACCATGGGCCTAGAAATCACTGAAAACACAGAAGTAATCCAATTAGGTTTCCAGGTGTGGGGGATAATGCAGAGAAAAGAATTCAGATATACCGGAGACGGAAGAAGTAAAATTGCAAGTAGGCCTAATGGCCATAAGTTACTGCTATCAGATAACCAAAACATGCCCAGTGATTTTAGTCATATATAAAAGTACAGATTGTAGTGATCTTATAAATGAGTGATAGGCCTTCACTAGAATCTGGATAGACACAGGGAAGCAGACAATTAACACGAGGGTGCAAGTCTGTAGCATGGTAATTGTAATACAGTTTTGTCAGTGACAGAGTAAGGAAGTGATGGAGAGAAATTAGAAGGAAATCAAAATTATTCAGTTTTGAACACTTTGCTTTTGAAATAGTGGTTGGACCTCCAGATGGCACCATACCCAGCTTGAGATAAGAACTGGACAGAAGACTACAACTCAAGTGTGGAGAAGCATAGCTGGGAATCAATTCCTAGAAGCAGTAGTTGACACCATGGGAATGAGGAGGTTGCCTACAAAGACAGAAGAGCCAAGACAAAACCTGAATCATGCCAACAAGAAGATGGAGCATTTCTGAACCACTGTTCAGAACGGTATCTGAACAACCAGATCACACAGAGCCACATCCAATCTTAAAGTGGCCCTCTTGACTGTCAGTTTATACATTGGTTTATCAAATAAGAAAATTAGATGTTTGACTCAAAGACAATTACACAACATTTAGATCTGCATGACTTACCAATTTAGAAAGGTTCATATCTCTCAGAACACGCATGACAATAGTAGATTCTGTATCAGCGGGGTTTGCTCTTTTTGCTGCCCCCAGCGTGCGCAGCACTGACAATATATTCCTCAAACCAAAGTCATAATGCACCTAAAAGGTGTGATAAGTTTGAAAAATTAAACAATCCACCTTTCTTAACATATTGATTTAGCAGTTTATTTTCTCCATGCAGGAAAAAGATTCATAGCAAATGTAACAAAGCTGGGGGCACCTCTACTGTATAAGTCCACTGACTTCCAGTATACAGATTGCCTTTTGATTGCATGGCCTTGCACAAGTTACCTCACCTCTGTGTTGCAGTTTGCCCATCTGTTAAATGGGGATTATGATATTTACCCACCTCTGTAAAGCACAGACCTATGAATGAGAAGCTCAATTTCAGTGCCAAATTTTATCATCAAATGAGGTAATAATCTCCAAAAAAGCTGTTTTTCTTGCTCTCAGAGCATGAGTGCCATGTAGAAGGGTTAAGGTTCATGGCAGTAGCAAACTAAGTTTAACAGCAATAGATACTTGATCAGAACCTGAAGTACTGTAGCAGTAATAGTATTCATAGGACACCTCAGTGGAGGGGTAAAGTTATGTTTTTTCTTTGTCTTGCTCTTTTATATTAAAGTACACTTTCACTTAATGGTAATGAAGGCCAAGATTCCTGTTTAATTTGACCATTTTGAAATTAAGAGTAGCAGTATTTATATTAGTTTACACCACTGTTGTGGGCTAGGTGACCAGTCCATTTAGGTACAAAAAAAGTCACTCTCCCATTACCCATATTTGATTTATGAACATAAATTAAAAGATATCCACCTCATGTACACATGCTAGTAAACAAACAATCTGGTTTGTTCAGGATGCAAGTCAGGGCAGAATTTGACTCAGTATTTAAAACTCGTTCATAGCAAAGATGTATAGTATGAACCACAATGAGTAAATTAAGTGTTTTTTCTCCATGATATAGGTGGCAGAAGTTCCTCCATGAGGTCTTTGGTCAAAACCCTTCCAGTGTTCTGGGAGGAAGGGAGACTATATAGAATCTCCTTCACAGTTCATCTACAGAAGTGCTTTAAGGTAGAATCCATGAGGCCTGAGGATGGACCCTTACTTCACACAAGTTTGCTATCTCCATGGAGAGGAGGCCAGTGTTTTCTGGGATCCCCATGGAGTACGAAATCAATGAGGTGGAATTTGAAGGATAGAAGCATGAGTGCCTTGAACACTTTTGCAGGAGGTGCTTTTGTTTGTTATGGGGCCTTTTGGGGGAAAGCAGGGACTGATTGAGTTTACTTTTATTTTTAAAAAGGCATCCTTGGATACATGGTGGGCACTGTGACAGACGTCACTTCTTAAAAGAAGAATTCCTGAACATACATTATTAAACTAGGAAGCATAAAATAAACTAGATCCTTGAACTACTGCTTTACAGAGCAAGCATTTGCGAACATATAAACTCCTGTTAGTATTAATCTGCCTCTGCTCATTAGAGCCACATTTGCATCGTAAATGGGGTATGGCTCAGTCTCACCTCTTTGCACAGAAAGCAGTAAACCCAGAATAGAAGGTAAACCTCATGGAAAACAGAGAGCACCAACACCAGGTGACAATTCCTGTTTGGGTTTTGTTTGTGTTGATGAACACCAATTAGCCCCCACTTCTCTGCTCTAACTCTCCAGTCTTAAGTATTAGATTAAAAGTCTTTCAAAAGGTGGTTTTCTGACAGCTTCACCTGCTTAGATAGCTGCTCCTCACACAGCTTGTACAGAGTGAAGAATTTCCTTGCCAGTATGATGTTATCTATGAATCCACAGCTAGCCAGTTTGACACGAATTATTATCTGACGATCAGGAACCATCATGGCCACTGAACGGAAGTTTATCTTCAAGTTTTCAGGCAACTCTTGTCGCCCAGCGTATCCTGGGTTCTGATTATGAGGAAAGAGTTTGTAGTTGACTTCATTGAATGTAACAAGATAAATAAGCAAAGATGCTTCTTCAGAAGTTATAACAAAAGATTAACGATTATTATTAGATAAAGTATTTGTTACAAACTCTACACCGGATTTTTGATATACTACCAGAGTTTGGCTTTAATACATGTTTGCACTCTGAAGTACCCACAGACATGACTGAAAATGCACATATGGAGTCATGTCTGATTACTGACTACTTTGTCTTAGTACTTCTTATTCCCTTTAGTCTTGCATAGCTAACACAGCTAAACAGGTAAGAGCTGGATTTTATTTCTTCTTGTGCACCAGAATTATTTACCCAGTTTTAATCAGCTACACTTGTGCCAACCTGTTCAAGGTAATCTTATTACACAGGTATCAGAGGGTATAATTTGGCAGGCAACACACAGGCAACAATATCACTAGTTGACTTTCAAATCTCAGGTTGAGTCTGAATGGGTAGTTACTAGTACAAATAGGTTTACCAGTGAATTGTGCACATTTGATCTGGAATCATTGAGATTCAACCCTGTAAATCAGTTTTCTAACAAGGATTACTTCTCAAATTGGAAATTAGTTTTAGGAGACTAGTGACTTCAGCACCAGGGGGTTAGTAAGTACAGTAAACGTACCAAATTGTAAGCAGTAAGTAAGTAATTTTAAGTGTGGTATTATCACTGAACTCTCACACCCCCTCAGAATACCTACCATAGTAAGAAATATTCCAAATTCAGGGTTCATTTCCACATTATCTCCATCAGTAAATATAAAGTTCTTTTTACGCTCCTTCTTACATGTCAACACAATTGCAATTTGCTGTGCAGCTACTGATAATACAGGTAAGTCGATACGGTTAAATTCATCAAAGCAGCCCCAGGAGCCAGACTGAGCAAGACCTTGAACAGAAAGAAACCTCTGAACAGTCTAATGGAAAGCTCATATCAGAGGATTAAGAAACAGCAAAGTTGTCTTGACTTGGAAAGAAGATGAACATCAACCCAACTTTGAAACCAGTTTTCCAAAATTAACCAAGGAGAAACTAGGTAAGGTGCAAATAACAGAACAGCTTGTAAAAAGATATTTAGAGGTCTTAATTTGGTTGCTAATTTTGCACCTACCATCACCCACTGGGACAACCAATTGCTGGCACAAAAGATATAACCTAGACTTTCTCCCAACATTAATGAACTGTACACAGTGTTTGACAACATTAGCATTGCCCTTACAGAGCCTTTTGTACTTGATCACCTTCTTTGAAGTGATATTGTTTGTGAAGAATTTAAAGTAAAGATTTTATACAACATGGCAAGTCAGATCGCATCCTGTTTTCATACCAATTTCACAACCAATTCAACAGCCTTTGACTTTAGTATTTACAAACTGTTTAACCTAAAAATTTTTGTTTATTTTTCAAAGAGGCTAAGTATTAAAGGAATATGGATATTTTGTTTTGTTTTCGCATCTCATGTAGTCAGTGTTATAAAATGGAATGACATTTGTTTTTGGAAGAATAAAAGTCAAATTTCCTTTTAGAAAAGTCACCACAAAACCTAGTCAGAAAGGTTTCTGTTGAGCCATATCCTTTTAATAAGAAAAAATACTACTAGTAATACAGGGACCTTTCTGTTGTCTTTGAAGCTGGTCTACATGAGAAACACTGTTATTGTAAAATACTGACCACTAATGTAAACGGTAGGCCATAACTGGTAAGTATGTACTAGATCTTGTTTTACAAAGGGGTGTCTCAATTTGGGACTTCTAGGCATGGGAATTCTCACCTTTGAAGATTCTTCCTAGTCCTCTGAAATCCATCTGGTCTGAACAGTTGAAGACTACTACATATTTACCAAGGCATCTTCCCATATCTTTAGTAGTTTCAGTTTTGCCTGTCCCTGCAGGTCCAGCAGGTGCTCCACCCATGTTCATTCCCAGGGCCTGAGCCAAAGTGATGTAACATCTACATGGAAACAGACTGTTATTAGGTATTTTCATTGTTCAGGTACCCACATCTGCTTGATGGCCTAACTGAAAAATGCATCAGTGTGATTTGAGGCCCAGTTTGGGCACAAGGAAAGCCCTCAATTAGCAAGCTTCATTATCATTTCTGCTGTGGGAGAGATATCCTCCAATTTATTTGAGGAGAAATGCTCCACATCAGCAGTCTTTGGTGCTCTTTACTGGCCACTTCAGAGCCACCTTATCACCTCAGCCTGTGCACAGTAGGGGGAGAAGATTGAGGGGGATGTCAGTTGGTAAGTGGAAGCTCATGAGGAAGGAATATACAACAACTCCAGAACACCAGCTTCAACAATTTTACCTTGCCCAATCGCTCAAATTACTTTAGCTGAAGTGACTCACAAATTAGGTAATATGTATGGTGAAACAAAATCCTGTATTCACCTCTAGGACAGTGAGATGTATTATATCTTTTCCATCTTTCACTCTTATGAGTCTATGACAGGGGAGGGCAAACCATGGCCCACGGGCCGGATCCAGCCCATCAGGGATTGCCAGCCCCGTGGCACTCCCGGCAGCAGCCAGCACCACGTCCCTGCAGCTCCTGGGAGATGTGGGGAGGCAGAGGGCTCCATGCGCTGTCCTCGCCTGCAGGCACCTCCCCCTTCAGCTCCTGGGGGTGATACCCACAGGGAAGGCAGTGCACAGCAGAGCTGCCTGCCCCACCCCACCCCCAGTAGCCACTGCTGGACATGCTGGTCACTTCCGGGAGCGGCGCAGAGCCAGGGAAGACAGGGAGTCTGCCTTAGCCCCACTGCATGCCGCTGCCACCCCGGAGCCGCTTGAGGTAAGTGGTGCTGGACCGGAGCCTGCACCTCGAACCCCTCCTGCACCCCACCCCCTGCACCCCAACCCCCTGCCTTGAGCCCCGACGCCCCCTCCTGCCCCCTAACTCCCTGCCCTGAGCCCCCTCCTGCACCCCAACCCCTTGCCCTGAGTTCCTTCCTGCACACCGCACCACCTCTCACACCATGCACTCCCTCCTGCACCCTTGCCCCAGCCCTACATTCATGGCCCTGCAAACAATTTCCCTATGCAGATGTCGCCCTTGGGCCAAAAAGTTTGCCCACCCCTGGTCTATGGTGTGACCTGATGCCAATTCCGATTCAATGAAATTGGCCCAATAACAAGGTCAGATGAAGAACTTACATATGCTTGAGACAGCAAAAAATAGAGAAGTTCATGTTGGTTATTTTGGGTTCATCAAGGATTCATCCTGTTATCACAGTCATGCAGGTGGACCCCTACTTCCAAGCAGATCCACACTGACTTCAGCTCTCAGATTTTATTGCACAATAGGAACTTAAGTTTGTTTCTAAATCTGATCAGCATTCATGGGCATTTTCATGTGGAATTTAACTCAATTATTTATTCTCTTTTTTTTTTTCAAACTAGACTACTTGTGTTAACTTTCCTCTAAATAACGTAGCTGTTTTATGTCACATATCAGCCACCATAAAGACTAACACAGCATACAGAAGTAATCCTGAATTTCTGAACATTATTACATACTGTAAAGGAAAAGAACAAACATTATGCCTTGATTCCCAGCCAAAAACTATGAAAGTTTGGGTAAGTAATCGAGCTTTGTTACCGGTCAGTGAGAGGAGTTATGACAAGCCTGTCAGTACAGCCTAAGAATTCATTCTGGTATGTAAAACCCACATCAGTGATGTTAATTATCATCTTGTCGGAATCTTCTTTGAAGTAAAATCTACATTGTTTCAACCACTCAAAGTCTGTAGGGTTCTTGATGTGCATACGGCACTAGGAAAATAAAAAAAAATCCTTAACAGAGCTAACTGATTAAAATAGGCATTTTGCATTTATATAGCACATTATGTTAGCAGATCTCCAAGAGCCAGATTAGAGCACCACTGGAAATTCAGTCAATTCAGCAGTGACCTGCAGCAACTAGCAACATTACACACACTTGCTGTGTAATGGGAGCAGAATTTTGGGCCAAAGTTTTTTGGAGGGGCACCATGGAATCTAGTGACCTCAGACTATGATATTTTCCAAAAGTCCTAAACACAGCTAAAAAGCATGGAATTCTGTCTTGGAAAGATGGAGGGCTCATTCAGTCCTGCTATCATTTGATTATATGATTTTTAGGAGTCTAAGAACCTGATTCTCTACTGCCTTCCACCTTGGAGGCCCACACCTGTGCAAAGAGCATGTAAAATGCCACCAGATCAGAAAGAGGGAGGGAGTAGAGAAGAATTTCAAGGAATGAGGTAGGACTTAGAACAAGAGCTTTTTTGCATGTGGATGCTACAGTGTTCAGATACAGTAAAAACGGTGACAGGGAAGTGGTTAAAAAAGGAAAGCTGTCCTGTAAAGATGAGACTTTGGGGGGATTCTCTCCCAAATTATCCCTTATCTAAAATGTACTTATTTTTATTCCTAAATAGGAAAGGTTGGTGGAAGTATAGAAAGGTGGGTTTTGACTGGCTAAAGGGGAGAGGAAAGGGTAGCCACATCCTTCTTTCTCGAGATCCCCCAAAGCAATGGATAATATAAGCTCCCGCAGATTTCTTCAGACTTTGAAAATCTGAGCACCCCTTGGGTGGTAATTTATGTACAGTTGGCAAGTTCTCTTATGACCTCCTCAAGGTTTGAAAAAAAATCTCCAGGTTTCTTTCCAGAACAAGCAGTTTTGTTTTCCTTTTAAAATACCTGTCTCATTCTGGAGTATCATGGATGCAGCAGATGAGAGGTGCAATTTATTAATCTTACAACCAACATAAGCCAATATTTCTACAGAACTATTATCTATATTGTAGAGATATGCATACATCTCAGAATTGCAAGGGGGAAAACTATTGTAACTGATTTCAGAGTAGCAGCCGTGTTAGTCTGTATCCGCAAAAAGAAGAACAGGAGTACTTGTGGCACCTTAGAG